AGCAGGAATTTGTATGGATAGGCTGAGAGAGACTGTTTTTTTTTTGTCTTCAGCCATGGCCTTCTACAATACATATGTTCAACTGAATCATAAAACTGCTGATCAATAAAGCAGAACCAAGTTGTTAGAGGCAACATTTTAATGACTAATGCACCTAAACTACAGAACTCTCTAGCAAAACACACCTCTCATGCCTAGATTTTTCCCCATAAATTTTTTACACCTAGTTTTTTCCCCATAAATTTCTTACACCCAACTCCACCTCGACAATCTAATTAAAATAACTTACTTTTTCATGAAAGAGAAATATTGATACTATTTGCTTGTTTTACCTCTTGAAAAGTATTCAGTTAGTACAAGGATATATATCATTCAACATGGACCAGACTGAAATAACTTTATTAGCTGATACAAGTGCATGTTGCACATAAGCAGTCAAGATACAAAATACTACAAACAAACAATTAAGGTCAGGTGGCCAGGCATTACATTTGTCATAAACATACTGTTTGCAAGTCCCTGCCCAAACGAGTTCACAATCTAAATGATTAAATGGAGAAAGTGAAGCATACTTAGAAACTGAGAGAAATTTAAGTCACAGCTCTGATGTTGGTGAATGTACCTTTTAATATTTGGACCTCAGTATGCAACCCTGGAAAACTCATGGTCTCAACCACCTCTTGCAAAAGTCCTGGCTGACTGTTGTTCCTGCCCTTTTAACAGCTGTATAACCAATTTTTCCTTCTCCCTCTACTTCCAAAACCCTTCTATCTGCCTTGGCAACTTCCTGCTGTCTGGCCTGCCTCTCATCTTGTACATAAAGCTCCAAAATATAGCACTACATTCATCCTCCTCTCCTGCTCTATTAGCCATTTCATTAATTTCCATCACTTTAGTCTTTCCACATCAAATGTTCCTTCTATCAGGCCACTTATAAATATATGAATCCTATTTCATGTCTTTTTGTTCATTAAGCAAAAAACTCAGACGTTTTCTCTAATACTTACATTATCTTGGAAAAGTTCAGGGTGCATTCCTCGTACAAAATGGAGAGCAAACATTAGTTGATCAGCCTGAAATAAAAGTAGAATACATGAACTGATAAATTTGCCAAAATTCACTTTCTGAATAACCTATCTAATAGAACCTCAGTATCTAAACTTCTTTTCTGATCAGCATAGTTGCAGAATTTTTAGGTTCACCATGTATAATTCAAACACAGAACATACCTTTCAAGCTAGTTAACAACATGCACATTACACATGCACATGTGGTAAATAACCTTAGTCAAAATCTCAGATCAAATACACTCAAATTTGATGAGACATGGGAGAATGGAATGTCTATAATGAACCAATCAAAAAAAATTATAGAATATTATAGAAACAGGGTGGTGGAAATACTTGACATGCTGTGTTCTGCTGTTGCAAGAGGCAGAACTTTTAGCCTTGACTGTTTGTAATTTAGTCCTACGTTTAAGCCAAAACATTTGAACTTCTACCAATTCTTCTGCACACAAAGGAATACCCTACATGGAAAGAATTAGTGGAAATACAAATAATACAGTCACACAGAATAATAGAGAAGTAGGTCTGGAAGGGACCTCCAGAGATCAGCTGATCCAACCCCCTACCATAGGCAGGAAAGGCCCAGTAGGGAGATCATGCCTGCAAGCTTGGTTTTATTAACACTACACTCTAGCTGAGCTAAACAGCCATTGAATACAGATTAAATAGATATCTTATGTCCTTATAAATAAATATAAAAATCCTGATATTCAAAACTGGTGAACTCCTGTCAGCACCAAAATGAAGTCAGTGGATGATGCTGGAAACAAAACATTTAATCAGGAGCAGCTGTAACCACAACTGTGCCTCCCAGGCATTGCAGATGCTCTCTGGTGGCCTCTCCAAATCCTGTTATCACTCTGGTTTGCCAGGGGGCTCCCTTATATTTGTCTTCCATGCCTTGATCTTCAGTATACTAAAACAGGGAGGAAGTCCTCAGATTTCCAATGACACCTGGGGTGCCTCACCCTACTCTGCTCATCAAATCACCTCTGTATAGCCCAATTTTTACCCACCTATTTTACCCAGCATTAAGAAGCGTGTCTCTATCCTCAATTGGCTGCTCTTGGTCTACAGGGCCTTAAATCAACTGAAGATACAAGCACCTTCACCAGGTGCCCTGAAGTGGCCTCCCTACTCCCCTTAAAGCCACCCCATGCCTTGTGGCTAAATAAACACAGACACAAAAAAACAAAACATAATTGTCATGAATTTACAATATTTGGGGGCATTTGTGGAATGTCATACATGTTTTCCCGAGTTTATTTTACTGATATGTTATACATCGTCTTGAAATATATGTAACATCAAGCTGTGTTCAGACTTGCCATCCTTATAGTTCTATAAATTGCGTTTTTTTAGAATTATAGAGAAGTAGGGCTGGAAGGGACCTCCAGAGCTCATCTAGTCCAACCCCTGCCTGAGGTAGGATTGTCCCTATCCAAAACCTCCTATACAAATCCACTGTCTAACCTATTAGCAAAACTACACAGTCAACCCTGACACAATTACAAATCATAACAACCTAACCTGCCACAGGTAAAGCAGAGGGACCACAGTGGCCAACATCCTTCTGCTGCAGACAGTGTTAAAAATATGCTTGAGAGATCCCAGGAAGAGGACCATGCCACTGCTAGAAGAAGTGAAAAACCCTCAGAATCCATGCCAATCATTTCATGCAATAAAATTCTTTCCTGACCCCAAATATAGCCATCAGGCTGACACTGAGTGGAGGCACAAAACCCTCTAGCTAGGAGCCCCCAACTCTAAATCCCAGCAGGACCACTGGCATAGCCCAGTCAAAATCCCAGCTTTAGCTGAAGCCAATGCTTCTGAGGAAGGCAAAAAGAAAACCCTGACATGTAGCAGGAAGAGGGGGAAACTTGGATGCATGTGGCAACCAGCAAAGCTCAGAAGAATGGGAAATTCTCAGAGCATTGCATAGACATAGCTGCTCCTAGATCATTGCTGACCAATGCCTGTCCAACCTCTTTTTGAAGACCCTCAATGATGGATAGAGTCCATAACTTCCCTAAATAGGCTATTCCAGTGCATCACTGTTCTAACAGCAAAGAAGTCTTTCTTGATATCATATTTAAACCTACTTTGCTGTAACTTCAAGCTACTGAAACACATCCTACTCTCT